AGAACCCTGAAACACCAATCCAAAAGAACATATGCGCACCAATGTTCATAGTAGCACAATTTACAATCGCCAAGAGTTGGAAGCAACCTAGATGCCCATCAGTAAATGAATGGATTCAAAAACTATGGTACATTTACAGAATGGAATTCTATGCAGCAGAAAGAAAGAAGGAGCTCCTACCCTTTTGCAACAGCATGGGTAAAACTGGAAAGCATTATGCTGAGTGAAATAAGCCAGGCAGTGAAAGATAAATACCATATGATCTCACCTTTAACAGGAACCTAAACAGCAAAACAAACAAGCAAGGAAAATATAGCTAAGGACACTGAAATACAGAACAGGCTGACAGCGACCAGAAGGGAAAGAATTTCAGGGGAAAAGGGGAAGGATTCACAGGAACAAGTATAGAGGGCACTTGGACAAAAACTAATGTGGGGGAGGGGAAATGGGAGCGAGGTGGCGAACATTGGGTGGGTGGGCTGGGATGGGAGTATAAGACAAAACTGTACTTGAACAATAATTAAATAAATCTAAAAAAATAAAATAAAAGAATATACATTTTGTCCTATAATAGGTAAGAACTGGCAAGACGATACATCCAAACCATTTTATTGCCAAGATTTTCATACTCAGGATGATAATCAGTTCTTAGATTCTGAAGAAAAGATGGTTTTCAGATATTGTCCACCCCTCTTATAGTGACAATATAATTCAGAGCTAAAAACTGTATATTTCCAGATGAACTTTTAAAAAATGTTACATCATTCCATTGGTACACATTACTTAAACCTTTGAGATCATCCTCTAGCCCAGCACTGTGCAAGAGAACTTTCTATGATGGTGGAAATATTTTATCTCTGTACGGTCCAATTCAGTATCCATTATCCACATGTAGTTATGGAGCACCTGAAATGTGGCTAGTGTGACTGAGTAACTTGGTTTCTAATTTTATTTAATTTGAATTTATTAAATTAAATAGCCACATAGTGCACAGTGCAAATTTAGTCCTAAAATGGAGATTATTCTGTCAAGGGGAAAAAAACCCTCCCCTTCCTTTGGATCAACTTTCTCTAAACTGAGAAACTCTTAAAAACTGAAAAAAGGCAGAAAAATCTCTACATTAACAAAACTGTGAATAAGTACCAAAGTAAAGGTTTTCAACCAAAAATAAAGTACCAAAAGTACCAAGTACCAAAAATAAAGAGTTCAACCCAGAACTCTGGGTTGAAACAAAATTTAGGATTGCAATTTCACTCATGAGCTGCCTGATATGAAGAACACAAAAGCCCACATTCGTAATTGAAATATGTGTGACTGACAAAAGTGTCATGATTGTGGGGTGGAGGAAGGCAATGGGTGGAGGTGGAAGAGGGTATAAGGGGTATAAATGGTATTGGAAAAAATAAAATAAAAAGTAGACTATTAAAAATTCAGTGCCTATTACTAAAGGAAAATAATCCAAGGTGTATATACTTAAATTAATCAATATTCTAAAAAGATTTTAAATTCCTCATGTTTTGGTAGTGATTTTCATTCATTTTTTTAACACCTACAATGTGGCAGGCACTTTGCTTATTGGGGGGTATTATTCTTCTAATATAGCATAGCAAAAAGTTCACCAAATAGTCATATTTAGCCCCACGCATTTGAAGTGATTTAATTTTTAGCAAATTCATGTGAAATTGCATCATTTTCAGTTAGAAGATAATATAATCAAATGATCACTGACATTTTGGATTTGACTACAAAACCAAAGTCCAAATATATTACTGCTTTAAAATGCATAGCATATTCCTCCAAAAAATAGAAAATAATCAACATACATTTCCAAAAGGTGACTAATATGTATTACAAGCATGCAACATGATATGCATAAACTTTTTAAAGACGACATCTTTGAAACCATTTTCCAAAAATAGAATTTAGCCTTTGATTTCCTATGGAGTCATCTGAAAGGTTTTGATGAGAATAAAATCTGTCTTGCATAGTTGTAGAGAAAATTGATTTTAAATACATATGTGAGAATCATTTCTGGATCTTTGGAGTTTGGGAAAGTACTTCATTCTTTTATTTTTTAGCTTTATTGACATATGATTGCATAGAACATTGTGTAAGTTTAACGTGTATAAAGTGTTGATTTGATTAAAAGTATATGTTGCAAAATGATTACCATCATAACATTAACTAACACTCCATTATATCACATAATTACCATTTCTTTTTTGTGGTGCAAACACAAGATCTAGTCTCTTAGCAACTTTTAGGTATATAATACTGTATTGTTAACTATGATCACCATGCTGTACTTTATATCCCCAGAACTTATTCATCTTATAACTGGAAGTTTGTTCCCTTTGACCAACATACCCACATTTTCCCCACCCACCCATACTGGTAACCATTATTTTACCCTCTATTTTTATGAATACAGGTTTTTAAGACTCCCCATATAATTTCAGTCATAGAGGATGTCTTTATCTGTCTTATTTCACTTAGCATATTGTTTTCGAGGTCCATACATGTTGCAAATAACAGGATTTCAAAAGTAATTCATTCTTTCAATAAATATTTCCTTTGTGCCCATTACATGGCTGGCATCATGCTTGACACAAAAATTGTGACCAGGAGACAGGTTCAGCTAGCCCATCAAATTACACATTGATGGAAACCTCACAGCCATCTCTGGATCAACTGATGGACACTACTAATGTCAGGTATAGACTGAAATGTTTCTCTGACTTCTACACCTATGTAAACATGGAAAACAGCAGTATATAATATTATGCCACATTACCACATCTAGGCTGACACTATCATATTTTGATTTGGGCCAGCTAGATTGTGTATATGTACATGCACAGTATATACTATATGCCAACAAAACCAATTATGCAGTAATTTAAGAACAAAGGCTCTGAAATATTTATTAGTCACTCTGATTGGGCCTTGTTCTAAAAGTTACAATCAAGTAAGACTCTGACATCATGTAAGTGATTTTTTTAAACAATAAAAATTGCATACAAGGTATAAACCCAATTTTGTAATCTCACATATACACTTGCAAAGGAAAAAGAAATTTGCCCAAATCTGTGGTAAGATCGCTTGTGATTTTTATTTTCTTATCTGAATATTTCTATATTTTCCAACCTTTCTACAATTACCACACATTACATTTATTATCAGGAAAATTTATATATATATAATTATATACACACACACACACCCACACACATATATATATGTTAGTTACAGTAAAAAACACTCTTTCAACTGTTCCAAAACTGGTGTCTAGTATAGGCCAGATGAAGGCCTCACATAGGGAAATAGGTATGACTACAGGTGTGATTTTAGAGGGCTGGTGTAGGAGGCCAAAGGGCTACCCAATTAGTTAATTGGAAGCTCTTTAAAGGAAACAGAGACATTCACTGTGTAAAGTTAAGGTTTAAAATGAATATTCCTGGGCAAAAGGGAAAATAGTAATACTTGTTCTCAGCTGGATGGAAATTGAAAAAGACGGCTTTTTTCCAGCTGTAAATCTTGGTTAGATCACTGGATACACTCAATTTTGCCTTTTTTTTTTTTCAATCGTTGTTTAAGTACAGCTGTGTCCATTTCCCCCTACCACTGCCCCTCACCCCCCCACCCTCAATTCCACCCCTCCTTTGGCTTTGTCTATGTTGCCTTTTGGTGAATCCATAGAATATGTTTGGTTAAGCATCTTGTAATGAACATTTAGAAAACTTTTACTAAAAATCATATGGTTTTGGAAAGTAACATTTTAATTATGGTTATAAAAATAGTATAATATTTTTTGTAGAAACCCTGGAAAATATGAAAAAGGTGGGGAATAAAATAAATGTCATGTATGATTTTATCACCCAGAGGAAATCACTATGAGTGTTTTGGTGTATAACCTTCTAGTAATTTATTCTAGGCATGTGTATGTATCATACTTTTTCACTTAATATTTTATCTTGAGCACTTTATTATGTCATTAAATATACTTAGTAAACCTCATGCTAATGACTGCCTAATATTACTGATGGATTAAAGATATCATTTTAGGCCCTGGATGGTGTGGCGCAGAGGATTGAGTGTCAGCCTGTGAACCAAAGGGTAACAGGTTAGATTCCCAGTCAGGGCATATGCCTGGGTCCCCAAAAACTACAAGTCCCCAGTAGGGGGCGTGTGAGAGGCAACCACAGTTTGATGTTTCTCTCCCTCTCTCCCTTTCCCCTCTCTAAAAATAAATAAATAAATAAAGTATTTTTAAAAATATATAATTTGGGGAAGAAAGTATATTATTTTATCTCCTGTTGACCTAATATATAAGAATAAATTTAAAATATATCTGGTATTTGAAAAAACTAGCCAAGGAATTTTTCTGAACTACTGATCATTTATGAGTCTAACCAACATCAGCGTTTTAACTCTAAAAGTGATTTTGTTCTCCACAAATCCCTGAAAATACCCATATCATGCACAATGATAAACCACTCACATATTTCCCAACATACAGCCTTAGGCCTGAAAAAGTACAAGTCCCTAAGAACTGTTAGATAGGAAAGCATTGCAGGGGGCCTCTCAGCCAGGCTCTGCCTGCTGTAGCAAATTAGGTCCATCACAAGGAGGTTAAAGGAAATAATACTCAAGTAAAAACAAAACAGAAAATATCCTCAACATAAGCTTGAGCTTCTGAATGAGTTCATTTGTTCAGATTCCAACCTCAAAAAAAAAAAAGGCTACTGTGATTTGTCTTTAAAAATATGTTTAAATTCAGAAGCTACAGAAAACAATTTTATTTACAGGCTGCCCATCTCCCAAGTCAGCATAGCACATATTTTCTAAGCAAAATTTCTGAACATTATTTTACTCAGAATACTAATCATAATTCTATTCCAGTACAGGTGGGGAACATTCTCTGTAAAAATTTACAATTTCAGTTTAAAATGAAACTCCACTCCCAATTTTCTTTGGTGGTTTGGCAATTCTTTCCTTACCTGCAAGGCAGTTTAGGATCAGAAAGACCTTCCAAAATGCGAACACCATTGTGTTGAAGTTCGTGTAGTGTAGCTGGGGACCAGTAGCTGGCCTGGGCTAGGCTGAGTCTCAAACTGGCTTCTTTAATCACACTGAGGTTTGGGCAGGCTTATCTGTGGGCATCACTGAGCAAACAAGTTTTTTCAGGCTTGCGTATTGGGTACAGAGCTTTTGCAGAGCAGATTTCTGTTTCTTTGAAACACTTTTCATGGGGCGTGTTTCCTTGATATATTTGCTACTATGTTAATAATAAACCCACGTATTTAAATTCTTCAAGTTCTTTGTACACAGACTCTCTAAGCTTTATTGTTTAAAATCAATTTTATTAAAAGTTATACTTAGGGGGGAAGATACAGTTGGAAGAGAGCCTATGCAAATAAAAGCTGACAAGGCTAATTAATTTCAAATATTTCCATAAAAGTCTTAAAACATTGATTCAGTAACATCCTTTTACAAATTAGGTTAGTAAATTATTGGTGCTCTAAGATTTTCTCAGGAGACGGAGTTCACAAAAAGAGTGCAGGGATTAATTATGAAGCAAAAAATAATAATTTCTATGTGAATAAACTCTGGACATGTCACACTTTTTTTAAGCCCTGGCAGTTCTCACTACCCTCCACCAAAACTGGCAGTAAAATGAATTCCATGCTTCTGTTTTCTGGGTTAGAAAACTCACAGCATTTATTCACTTACCTAATTTTGCAAAATCAGATGAGGGAAAAATGCTTTAAGACTTCCATTGAATGAGTCTGAATTTTTGTACTGAATAGGGGCTACAAGACTTCCTTGGAAAGGAGGTTCGATAGGAGGGAATGGGAGGCTGTACAGGCGAAAAGCCTTCATGTGAACAAGAACTTCTAACAGTGTTCCTCTTGTGCCTATGTTACCCTCAAATACGTAAGGGCCTCCTCCTCTGTCTTTTTCCATATAGTCTTGAAGTCCTGCTGTTTATATCTCTGTAATGGCTCTCAGATTTGTCCTTTCTCCAATCTGCTGTTTCCATCATGGACCAGGTCCAGATTCTCAATCCCTGGCCTACTGTAGCAGTTCCCTAAATGGTCTCCCTTACTTCTTCCTCCTTCATACTGTGTACCAACCACACACCAATGTTCCAACCCTGATCAAGCTTCTTCAATAACAGCATTATGAACTATTTCATCAAATCCCAAGTCCTTAATCTGTATTCCCATGTTCCCAAATCTTGTCCTCACTTCTTTTTAATTTAAGACATATTATTTCGCCTGAAAAATGCTCTCAAGATTTATTGCCTCAAAAGTATTCAGTCAAATGAAATATGTACAAGTTTCAGAGATATGTTGTATGAACTGTAATTTATGGGAAATGTTTTACCCCATCTCATGTTAGCTAAGCCAATTCCAATACTGCTTCTCAGAAAGACATTTTTGCTTCTATGAGGCCTGATTTCTTCTCACAGCCTTTGCTGTCCATGCTCCTATCTGGTGCTAAAGCTTGGTTCCAGGTGTCTTCCATCATTACTTAAATTTTCTCATTCCTTATATGAGGAGGCCCCCCCCAAAAGTAATTATCTTCTGGAGGGTGGGACTCCTGAAGTACAGGCTTCCCCCCCTAGGTGAGTGTTTTAGGAATACATCTGTATTAATGGACCAGCTGGTGTTGCTGTGAGAGGCTGCATTTGGCTTCAGTGAAGTTTTTTGAAGACTCTTTCAACACATTTGCCCATTTCATGGATGATTGACGAGCACACCTGCCCACACTGTGCTGAGTGTTCAGTAGTTTTTAACCAAAAATGGCATGACTCTCTTGACCCACCCTTCCTCTTTACCCAATCTCTCCCCACCCACGTTTTTTTTCCATTTCCCCAGATGAAAAAAGTCCTCAAAGGCAAACATTTTGCTGATGTGGAAGAGGTGAAACAAAAAATGGCAGAAGCACTAAAATGCATCAAATTTGAAAAGTTCAAAAATTGTTCTGAGCAGTGGAAAAAACATCTTGATAGCTGTATTGCATCAAATGAAGAGTACTTTGAAGGTGACTGGAGTTTAAACATGTAAGAATAAATACATAATTTTTATAAATAAATTCCAGTTTTTTTGGCCTCCCCTTATATTATCTAAACATATTCTTAGTACAGATCAGTCCTACTGTCTGACATGAAAATTTTGGTGAACCTACGTAACATCCTTGTCAGGACTCCCCTTTGGATAAATTCGCATCGCTCATAGATCCAATATTCTACAGTTGGCACTTGATTGCTCTCTAGTTGTTTCCTATTTATTAACTGGGCCTCTCCTAAATCTAGTGACTGTGAGGCCCCCAGGTCAGGGGCCAGGTCTTATATAGGCAGTTTTCAACTTAAGAAAAGGTGTGTCCCAACATGGACTGGTAAGCTCAATGACTGGACCCAACAATATACATTCCTACCGAAGGAATGCTATAAACAGAAATCTTATTCCCAGGCTTAGGTGCATAATGTAGCACTGCCTTGAATTCTTGGTACTGGGCCATATAGGGTAGATGAGGAGAAGGAGCAGCAGACAGCAGAGAAAGAATATTCCTTTCCCTTTCTAAGACATTGATTGTATGCAAGGCAACATTTTTCCCAAATAAATATTGCATGTGTTTGTCACTTACCTTACTTTATACCCCCCACCCTAAAGACTCACTGACCTACTGTCTACCTAGGTTTCCCTAAGGAAAGATCTTACTCTCCAGGATATTTCATGCTTTATAATTACTTTTTTCTTTCCAACCTTATTTCTTCCAGAAACATATTCCCTCCCTTGTATAAGCAGACATTAGCTCCAGGTCAGAAGGGAATCAATTGCTATGAACATTCCCCAATCTGGTTGCACTATTAAAAATAAAATGTGTGATTTCCCCTCAGATAAATCTCTGTCCAGAGTATTAGGCAATGCAATAAAGAGAAGTGGTCCGGGGGAGTTTTTATAGAGAACATCTTGTAGGGCAGCACCCTGGAGGTCCACACCAGCTCTTCTCAGCCTTGGTTCTGCCTTTACTTCTGAGTCCGCCAAGTCTCCAAAGGATCAATTATTTGTGTAATGGCTTCCCTGGAGGTATTAATGAGTTTTCCAGTGGTGAGGAGCTGGGATGGGGTAAGAAATTCCTAAGTCAGTAAGCCAGTGACTTCTTATGTTTCCTTCCATGACCCATAGCTTACTGTAGTAAAATGAGCATAGTAAGGTGAACATACGTAAAAGTAGGATGCTTTTGAGAGTGAAAGGGGCACTATTAATAATTACATGGGAGAATGTAAACTGTAATGATTCCAGGCAAACCTGGGCATCTGGCCACCTGCCCACAGTGCTAAGTACAAAGCGAACACTAAGCAAGCTTGTTCATTAATTCAGTATGTCCAAGTTGGTTGGCCCTGGGATGCCTGCAGTAAGGAGTATGATTTAAGGCTACTGCAAAAACCCATCTGCACCAGAATATCTTATAAAACATAAGACACTCTAGAATATTAAGGTAAAATGCCAACACTTGTATTATGTGGGACCTAACTTGAATAGGTAGAATTCAGTTAAACTCTCAGAGATGATCTAGACTTTCTGTTTCAGTCTGAATTTTGATATTATTGACTATTGCTCAAAAGAAGTGGGTCATTAACTGGCACATGAAATATTAAATATCAAATTTTTATAAGAATTTATAATTTTTAAACTGCTTTTCCATTTTACCTTCACAACTGACAATAAAATAAATAGGGCAAGTATTATCTACGTTCTCTCTATGAGAAAACGGAGGCTCAGAAACATTGTCTCTTTGCCAAGGCCACATAGTACGCATTAGATGCTGTCCTTCCCTTCACACCACATGGTGACACAGTATCCATGTAATTGTAACAAATATGCTACTGACTCCACATTTCTTCTTTGGGAACTTTCAGCAGAAATTTGCAATGTTTGACTTATCCCTCATTTCTTAACTTAAAAATTATAAAAGCAATATATTTGATTAGAAAGAGGTTTTACATAACAAAGAAGTAGTCATGGAGATGTAAAGTACAGCATAGAGAATTCAGTCAGTAATATTGTAATAATTAAGTATAGTGCCAGGTGGGTACTGGAAATATCAGGGGGATGGACCACTTTGTAAAGTATATGATTGTCTCACCACCATGTTGTACTCCTGAAACTAATACAAAATAATATTGAATGTAAACTGTAATTGAAAAATAAAATTTAAAGAAGAGCAAAGTAGAAAGAGAATAAAGAGAAAATCTGCATTCTCTCACCCATATATGTAATCCCATGCCATGCTCACAAGCAATGGGAGTTTAGCATTTTTCTCATGTGTATATGAATTTACACACACACACGAGTTTTTTTAACATAAAGGTAATCATAATATACATGTTTTCTATAATTTTTTCACCTTGAAAATCATTTTTATTATCTATTTATGTCACAATGTACAATAATATCTATAGATCTATCATATCATTTTAAGACAGCATTATATTTTATAGTATGAATGTACCACAACTTATTTAACCATTCTCTTATAGGTCATTTCCAGTTTTTCACTATTATGAACAACGTTGAAGTGAACACCCTTTTGACTATATATCTTCCCATTTTGTGTGATTATTTCTGTAGATTAGGTACCTAGAAATGAAATTGTTGGATCAAAGGATATTAATATTTTAATTTTTTGTTGATTATGAAAAATTATCAACCAGAAATTCTTTACAAATCTGTATTCCCATTAAGACTAAGTGTGACTGTTTCTCCTGAGCCTTGTCAACATTATCAGTCTTTTGTTTTTATTAGTATTATGTGTGAAAATTGTTGTTTTAATTTGTATTTCTCTAATGGGGTCAAACATTTTTTCACAGATTTACTGGCCTAATTGGTGTTCCTCTCCTTGTGAATTGCATTTATGGCCTTAGATGATTTTCCCATTGAGTTATATTTTAATATTGTAGAAGTATTCTTTATAGTTTATGAATCTTAATCTGAATTGGGTATATACATTATGAATATTTTCTTCCAGTTCATCACTTTAAAAAATTGCCTTTTTTCTATTAAGAATTGAAAATTTTGTCAT